ACGTGCTTCTATGACTTTGAAAAATAGCACCTGGTGTAAAACGGACACTACAACTGGAACCGAGTTAAATCGGTCAACCAGAAAGAAAAGTAACGGATATATGGGGCCATGAGAGAGATTCGGATAGGAAGACCAAGTCGGATTCGCCGATCGAAAGAGAAGCCAAGGTCAATAGGTGTGATGAGGCCACACTAAATTGGCCAAAAAAATGGCACACATTTTGACGATTGGAATGTAAACAATGCAGAAGTTGTGATATGGCGGGGGTTGGATAAGGTGGTAAGGATCGTGTAACGGTGATCATGTAACCGTTTAGACAGAACGTTGGTAGAGGGATTGATTCCACTTGTCTCTGACGATTTTGCAGCATGGTGCGGAGAACGGCAAGATTCACTGATGATGTCGGCGAAGCGTCTGATAATGTACCAAGTGTATGTTCTGATGCTGGGAATTATGATAATTACTATGGCAGAGGACTTCAAACAAGGTGCATTCTACTAAGTCGCTCTGACAACAACACCAAGTTGATAAAACGAGGTCGACCCACTTCTATAAATCGGAAAGAGGCTGCGACCATACCAAAGGCCACGCCATTCTGCGACCCTGATAAATCTGTGTTGAGCTTACGACTGCAATTTGACAGACATCGCCATAGCAAAGAACCATCCTTTACTAAGAAGTGGCCTGACCTCGCTTACGCAACTTCGTCATGTTGTCAGGATGACCTGGTTGGATTCACCTTGTCCGACGTCCTCTGTTATAGTAGTTATCATTATTCCCAGCGTTGGGCCGTGGTCTTGGTACATTACCAGATGCTTCGCCGGCATCGTCAGTGAGTCTTGCAAGTCTTAGAACCAAATTATAACTCGTCAAAGAGACTAGACAGGGGATTGAGTTCGCTTGTTTCTTTAAAGAGCTGTAGCTTGTTGCTGAGAATGGCAAGATTCACTGACGATGCCGGCGAACTGTCTGTAGATGCACAAATTCCACGGTCCAATGCTGAGAATAATGATAACTACTATAGCAGAAAGCTTCAGATAAGGTGCATCCAACTAGGCCACCTTGACAACACGACCAAGTTTGAAAATCGAGGTCAGACAGCTTCTAAGTAAAATATGGCTTCTCGCTATGGCGATGTCAGTCAAATGACAATCGAAAACTTAGCAAAGATTCATCAGAGTCGCAGGATGGTGAACCGAAGACTTATTAGATCACCTCAGGAGTCTGCACTCTGCGGCAATCCTCCTTAGTTTTGAGGTGAGACCAATCCTTTCAATCCTTTCTTTCAATGAGATTTCACTCCGAAATGTAAAATTATGTCATAATAAATAACTAAAGAATTTTCCTAAACCTAGTTTTTCCTCAATAAGTGAAAATCGATGTTTGCTCAATTCACCATACGTCTGCCTACCTTCACCTTCAACCTGCATTATTCGCTCAGAGTCAGCCAGCCAATTGAGTTGAGAGTGCTGGAACATATTCATGAGGATAAGCACGTAAGTAAGTGGATTCGGAGAAATTGCTGCCGACCGCAGCTTGTCAACAAAGAGGTTTGCACGGTCCTTCTTGATTTCTTCTGCAGATGGATGTTTAGCTTGATCGCAAACTTCTAAATCTGAGTTACTTCCAGATCGAAAAGTTACTGGTTCAGGAGGCACTGTGCTGTTTTCTCTTCGAACTTCCGCTTCATCGTCATTGCCGTCTTCAGCCTCAGAATCATGTTCGGAGATGTCAACAGAATCAGGCCATCCAACCGAATGATCTAAAACGTGATCGCTTCGTCCTGATGCCTGTTTACTCGTCTCTAAAATACTTAATTGTTGGGAGGTTGGGTTTTCGGTAGAGTAGACTGAGTCTAGTGGGAGCCAGGCCTCTTCCCGGCTCGAAATGGCGGCGTTAATTTCAGACTGGACGTCTGAGAAGCTATGCAAACGGGAGCAACTAGACGAAGAGTCAAATAATTATCAATTATGGAAGACAAATTATGAAAATCAACAAAGTAATGTGAAAAAGACAATACGAATTTTGTGCCAACGAAATAGGTTAATTATTTTATCATTCAAAAGAGATACTCTGCCAAATTGTCAATGTTCAGCTGATTAAAAGTCAAATTTATCGAGTTATAAAAAGCCAAATTAATGCAAAAGTGAAAACACAGCAATTCGAATAAAATTTAACATAGAAACTAAAAAAAATTAAGTATGATAGTTTGTTGATGAAAAGTGATTGAGGGATAGAAATATTGTCGTCAACTGATAAAGTAATCAACAAGTGGGAAACGTAAATATGGTAGATGAAAGACCTTGGATAAGAAAAAAATCAAAATGGTTTATTGCTCAACGAAATAAGCCTTATACGTATTCGACTAATAGCGAGATAGCGCAAAAACAAGCTTAATTACGGAAATAAAAAACGATTTACCTTGCCTTAGGTTATAAAACATCTTAAATGGATGAAACTTATTATAGACGTCCATTCAAAGGTCATACAAATAATTACTAAAAAAGCAAATAAAAGTGTGATCTATCCCTCACATATATACAATGTTTCACAATATTTTGGCATTGTGTTGAAACTGAATCTCAAAGCTAATTGGGATATTAAAAGTATAATAAATTATACAATCAATGAAACTATTCGTTTCCTATATACAAAAGAGTGGTTATTAATAAGGAAGCCTTGACAAAATCATTAGGAAAGCTTAAATGTACTTTGGTAACATTCAATTCATTGTGATGCTATATAGCCAACTTCTCTGAATTCAATAAACAATTATTTTCTTATCATGCTTTCATTGTATAATTTCGTTATTTGATGGGGATAATGAACAGATGTACCCGCCAAGTCATACAATCTAGCTATCCCTGGGATATAAAAATTTTGGAGATGATGAAAAAATTGTTTCGAAGAGTTCCTAATAAACTCATTTAAATGTACCTGACATTTCAGAAAGAAGCTTTGATAAAGAGTAACTGGGTCTCAAAGAACCTCCTGAGATAGTAACATTGAACAGACATTCATTTCGTACGAAAATACATGAATAGATTCGAAGGTCGATCTCATTTAAATGTACCTGACATTTCAGAAAGAAGCTTTGATAAAGAGTAACTGGGTCTCAAAGAACCTCC